AATCAGTAGCACAGCATCCGAGGGGAATTTACCACAAAAGTAGAGCAAACCTTCCAGTGTGTTGCTGCTATTTCTTCTGGAGAGCAGCTTTAACAGAGTTAAGAAGAAAAGATAACTCAAAACCAAAAAGCTAAGTTCAGGTGAAATCAAACCCTGCAAGAACTGAAGGCTCTAAGTCTATTTCTACTCAGAGGAACAGCATCTGGATTGACAGCATCTTGGTGAATCACTCCGTCCCACCACTCACAGGCACGTCCCCGTACCACACATCAGCACCTCTGCAGCTCACCCAGACTCTCCATGATGGCAGAACAGGAGATTAGATCAGTCTCAGGAAATTAAATCAGTATCAGCAGAAGTAAGGAGGTCTCCACTGCTCTGGTGAGGTATTACAGCCTGACTAAAAGCTGTCTTGTATTTAGAGCGAGGACCTCTCTTTGATTTTCCAGTTGTGAAACATTGTGTGACTCCTCATAACATACAGGGATATTGATCCAGGGATATACTTACTCTTCCATTTGATTTTTGTCTTTGGACTTTGCTTCTGTGATCTTCTCCTGCCTTTTCTTGTCCATTTTTTTCTTCAATTCTTTCTTTTCTCTAATGCATAAAAAATGAAGGCAAAGTTCAAAATGCATATAAACAAAACCCACACAGAGTTGTAATCGATTGTAAGGGGAATAGCACCTTACTTTTCACATGTTTCTTTCAGTTTCTTTAGCTGGCTGTTCTGACACTCCTCTGCTACATCTGTCAACTTCTGAATAAGCTAAAAAAAAAAAATCAGAAGAAACAAAAAATGTTTTTTCAGCTAAACATCATACATGCATCTAAGCTTCCTCAAAAGTCTGTAGCAGATGTGAAAGTGCTACACCATTCCCTGATTAATTACCAATGATCAAAAGCCAGTAAACATTCTTATTGGTGTAAATGCATTCTTAACTGGAGTCCAGCCAGACTCGTGTATGTCCACCTTACACAGAAATTACTACTTTTCTGTACATCAAAGTAATACAGTCTCAGAATATTAAACGTAAAATCAAAATATATTTTACAGATTTTACCTTTGCTAGGAATTAAAATGCTTATGTTAATTCATAAATGGTCACAAACTAAATTTATGCAGTACAAATTACAAATTTAGTTCCTGTATGACTGAATATTAAAGGTTGTCTGTGAGTGCTGAAAATATTCCTCTTGCATTGAGCATTATTACACGGAACAGCTTGGATTTCAGGGTGGTCAGGTGGATACTGAAAATTCATGCATGACAGGTAAGAAAGGGAAGCATAGATAAGCATAGCCTACATTTTGATCACAGAGTACTGGATTCAAAAAATCTGAGTGCTGGTTTGAAACATCCTGTGCAGCGCTGGGACCAATCTCATTCGTGCTGCAGCTGCTAACAAAAAGTGGGCTTGTGGTGGGGATGCTGGTGGGAAGGGACACATGGACAGGGCTCGTGTGCACGTTCAATGAATGGTGAATTAAAGTGGGAAACGGGACCAATTTGGTTTGATCACCCCCTCTAGTTTAGGTCTGATTCTGTAAAATAATCCTCTCAGGATGATGAACCAGAGAATGTATAATAATGTCTGGCTGGTCTGATCCAGCTTTTCACTTCTTAGATAAAAGAAGAAAGATACCGACAATAGACTCTCCTCTAAAAGAAAGACATCAGAAACAATCTCTTGACTGCAAAGCAGATTTTAATCGGAATATTAACTCCTGCACAGCTCAGAGGGAAAACTGCCTGAAGGTTCTGTGGTAAAATATTAATTTATCCTGACGCTACCTAAGTGGACAATGCTGAAAATGCAACTTTGCTTTGAGAAATGTCATTTCTCATTTTCAAATGAGAAATGAGCTAGTTTACAACGTAAGTCCAACTACATGGGTCCAAAATTGTTTGTGGTCTTAAAAACTTAAATCCCTGAAATGCAGCCAGCAACTGTTACTTGAATTTGGGCTCTCTCCCTGCGGCACAGGTAACTGTGTCCGTGCACCTACTCTGGAGCAGCTTCTGCTGGGTAATGCTCAAGTGGTCCACGTACAATCGGTGATAAACAGGGCATCACTTGGGAACTGCAGCACCGTGTTATGATCCATGGGAATGAACTTGTGAAAAGGCTTTGCTAAGTGATATCCATGCCTACCACTCCTCTGACCTGTTCTTTTGGGATAGCAGGGCAGAGTACATAAATCACTTCACCCAACAGTAAAGAGGCAAAACATCACATAATAGAAAAAATTGTGAGAGAGGATTGTCTAGAGTTGAGAAACAGTTTGCACTCCCATAACACCCTTTTAAAATGTTCTTTTCTTCCTGAGAATATCCATCAGCATCAGCTGCCATCTGCCCAAGCTCCTCTATTTCAGCTCAGAGGGCCTACAATCCTGCTGCAGTTGTCAGCCAAACTCCAGCTGTAAAAACACAAGCTGGCTTGGACTGAGGGATGCCAAATATTTCTTCAACATATACAGATTATGTCTTGCACCCCCTTAAAGCATTCATCTGCAACAGGAACACTGTTTGGCACAACTCTGTGCCCTGGGGAATGTTTGAATCTATTTTCGTTTCTTTATTTTCATGGTGTTCCAATTTACTTCCCAGCTAATCCTGCCTCCTTGAGTGTTGTACGTTTAAAAAACGTGGCTGAACAAAATGGGAACATCATCCAAAAGATGCAGTAAACTAAGAATTACGTAACTAGAGGTAAGAACTCTCTGCGTTAGCAGTAGTAGTAGCCGCTGCCTTTCTGCCTTCCATCCAAAGCCTTCCTAGCTGTTAGAAGTGCTAGTGACAAAGTGACACAACAACCTCTTGAAGTCGCAGCAGACCACAGGGAAACCAAGCTTTGAAACGGACTCCAAGTAAAAGGAAGCCCCACTTAATTACAATGTCACGCTGCTTTCGTTGCCCGCCCTGCGACCGCTAAGGAAGAGCAGACGACAGGAGAAACGTACCAGCTTAATGTGCTCCCGTTTCTGGTACTTCTCACTGTAATACTGCTCCTGCCGTCAGCTGCTGCTGTTGCTTCTCCTTCAGCTCGACTAACTTCTGGGTCATTTCAGAGTCGAGAGCAGCTAATTCCTGTTCAATAGTCGAAGAACTGTGGTCTGGGCTGCCCGGTTCCGACCTGGAAAGACAAACACACCCCGCCAAGGTGTAAGTCAGTAGGCAAGTACGCTCTGCCCCATAGTTAAACCTTCTTCTTAAGGCAGCTGGTTGTATGTAGTCCATTAAGAAGTTTCTCAGCACCACATATAGGGCCAGAAGATGATTGTAGCTCTAGTAAATCAAATAATTTCATCTTTTAGGAAAAAAAAAACAGCGTTAACACTTTATTAATGAGATGGCTATTGCTTTTAAGCATTATTTTACTAACCCATCATGGTGGTGTGAACCAGACTTAGTATAAATGAGCTATAAATGCAAGCGCCAAGACTTCCCATAAACAGATGCCCATGGAACTTGTTTATCCACTTCCAGACGTGCAACTTGAACTTCAAAGCTGCACAGTCCTCAGCAGAAATGGTGAATGCCAAGTAGTTTGAAAACTGAGTCATCCTTGCATACACTTAGCAGTAAATTTAAGAGCCTAACTTTACATCTGCATTTACAAAATACTTAAAATGGTAGGAACATCCCTTTATTTGGTATTTTCTCCCCCCTTCAGGAAATGCTACACATCGCACACACAGAGGAAAGTGCTCTATGGACTGCTGACATTAGGAGGAAAGTTTACACCCCAGTGGGGAGTAAACCTCAGGAAGGCAATACATAGAACCAAAGGAAAAATATAATGAGAAAGCTAAAAAGCAGCACTAAGGAATAGCTTTGGGTTTGGAATAGCTTTGGTTTATGTCTTTTTTTTTTTTTTTTCTTTCTGAAGACGGAAGGATAGATGTAATTGTGAAAGGAGACATGATGACACTAAATTGCTCAAGGAAAAAATAAGCAGCAAAAGCAGTATCACTCTCTGGTCAGCACTAAACTAAACCCAAGAAAAACATTTTAAAAAAAAGGAAAAAAAAATATCATGGCATGTCCCTGCTCTGCTGCTGTGTTTACTGCTGTACTCAGGTGTTAAATCAGTTGCCTGGGAAACCTCAGAACAGTGCATGAGATGGACAAAACAGCAAAACCTTGAACAGAGAGGGCTGACACTGGGAGAAAAACGCATTTGCTACTCAGAAATTGGCAGAGATGACAATGCAGAGAACTTGCTACATTGGCTGCCTCTCTTCTCTCTCCCTGGTCCAAGTTTGCAGCTGCTGTCAATTAGAGTTCCTTCAACTGAAATAACGTGAAGCTGGTTTCATCGGTCTGAGGACACGAACCAAGGTAGCCTCTTTTTATTTCTTGTATTTTTATTGTGTGTGAATATTCTGCTAAAAGGTTAAGCAGCATCAGTGTGATAGGTGAGGATAATTTAAACACAGAGCCAGAAGACAGTATTAATGAATATTAAAGTCGGCATATTATGCCATTACACTATACATTTTAAAGCTGACATTTTTATTTTTGGGAAAAAGAAGTAAGGCCTATTTCAAACGTTTGCTAAAATATTAACACTGTCTTTTAAGGGACATGATCATTAAAGAAACTTCAGAATAACACCAGCAAAAAACATTCATTTGTATAAATAAATACTTCAGATTTCCTCTAGACAATGGCTTTACTGAATCTTGGCCCAATTTTACACCAGGGCATGAAACATGGATTGCTTCTCACCAGAGACAACACATTCATATGGCAACCTGATACAGGGACTCCTGATGAGGTAGTGATTTATACTTTGCACTTACAGGCAAACAGCTTCAGTAATAATTTAAAATTATAAAAATCACCTTTTTCCTTGGGATATAGTATTCTATTAGAAGTCTGCTGCTTGAGGTAGTATGTACTTGCAAGTTTGAAAATCCCTACAAATATATTCCTTCCTTTTAAAATTCAACCTCAGAGTTTTTAACCTTCAGATTTCTCTGTATCTGCACATAAAACTTCACATCTCTGCAATCATCGAGACAGCTCCACATAACAGACTGCAGGGTTTTATTGCCTGATATGACGAATGATTTATGGTCAGATCATAACAAAATAAAAAGAAAACAAAATCCTTTTTACTCAAATAAATGACTCATTTTATTTACTCAGTTTATTTTTCTGCTTAAATTTGAATAGAATATGCTAGAGAAAAGACAGTCTGCCACTGTCGCACACATGACGATGGAAAATACAGTGGGTAAGAATAACCCTGTGCGCAGCTGACAACCAGTCATTAAGGGAGTTTGTTATGCTTCAAGTGTAGAACATGGAAACCTAAAAACTGGCAACAGTTAAGGCCAACTGAACACAGACATCTGATGAGTGTTAAGCTCTTATTAAGCCCAATGACATTCCGCCATCAGGTGGGCATAAAGGAGTAAGCTCCTTCCTAGGGACAAGTGATGGCCTGAATCCCAGTCACTTACAGAGGTACTACCAACAAAGTTAGCAGCCAGAGAATGCTTGCAGCCTTTTTCCCTGATGACCTCCTACCGAAAAGTATCAAGTAAATTTTCTCTATGTTCATTCAATGTCTCCATATTTAAGAACTGCAGTTGTATCAATTTTATGTAAAAGTTAAAGAGCTGTTGTGCTTTTCTAATTACTTTAAAAAATAATGTTAAAATGAGAATGCTGCACTAATAGGAGAAATAAAAATTTAGGAGAGTACCCTTACCTGATTATCATTCTGTTGTAACAGTATCAGACAGTGATTGTACCTATGTATGTATATGTTTTGCCAGGAGTTAAGAACTGATCTTTATTAACATATAGTTCCTTACTATATGAACTAGATAATAATTGTGGAAGATTAATGAGTCATAAGTCTTTGCATTTCAAACTGATAAATACAACTCTCCTTTTTTATTATTACATAAACAAATAATACAAAAATGATATCAGAACACACAAAGAGAGAGGGCAATGCAAAATTTAGAAAGAGACATAGCACATAAGGGGAGTGCATGCAGAGGCAAAGCCAAGCAGTTGTTAAGAGATCCCCAAGTGGTCTGGATCAATCACAATTTAAACAGTAGTCAGATGTTTATAACTTTAAGGTGTTTCTTCCACCTAATTATACAGCTGACACCTTCTAATCTAGCATGAGTTTTTTCCTGCGCTGTTAACTTGGAGACAATGCTCTTCATTCCTAAATTCAGAATATCCATTTTACCCATAAATAGCATAAAGGTGGAGTAAATTTTGTTCCTGTTTTGACACTGGAGTCTCTTCCAGACAGCACACTGTGGTGGCCCAGAGTAAACCAATGGCTTAACATGGGCAAGATGACCACGTGAGCTGGCTGCAAAAACTTCTCCTTGCCTGCAAAAGGAGCTACGTTATGAAGTTATACTATTAAGTGCAGGGCAAAAGCTTCCATGGATCTGAGAGTCCTTCTCCTAAAGGAGGTCAGCATGGGAGAAGATGGAGTGCTCTGATACAACGTGTTGCAGTTGACCTAAGTACAAAAGTAAAACACTTTATCCAGGTACGTTTGAGTTCCTTCACACTGCAGTCTGGTTCTGGAACTGTCCCAGCGTGTAGGGGATGCCCCCTCTCACAGTCTGGGGTTAAGCTCACTACCTAACCACTGCCTGCTGTTGCCAGTGCAGCTGAGCCACCTACCCATACCAGCGGTCTAGGGAAAGTCC